TGTGTAACTAACTGTGACCTTCTTGGATGTTATTAAATGTTAGTATATCTACAAAAACAACAGCTAGTACCTCCTGTTATAAAGTGTAGATAGGTACAGTAATACCAAAGGCTAGAGAGAAAGAGGCCTAACAGTCTGAGATTTTACCTAGGCCCCTCCTTAAACTAGGCCTAGGGTCATAGGCTGACACCAACATACTGACATTGACTGACATTTTTTGGGGAAAAAATAGGACAAAATTGAAGCATGAAATAAAAAATAGAGCGCATAAGAGAAATATTATTAAATGAATAATATACCATTCCGGCGTTATTGAACTTGTCCAAACTATCATTGTAATGTAATTAATGTTAAATAATAATAATAATAATAATAATAATAATAATAATAATAATAATAATAATAATAATAATAATAATCATTTCAGCATTAACTACCTTGGCCTAAGCCTTGTAATGAAGAACCTACAGATACCGTACTATTTACTAGGCCTATAAATAATAATCGCCCAAGGGGAATATCTTTTGTTTTATTTCCCCTTAACGTCGTTTTTTTAATTGTTCTCTAATTCCTCCATTGTCTAAGTTCCCCTTAAGGTACAGCTAGGTAATAATAATAATAATTAATAATAATAATAATAATAATAATAATAATAATAATAATAATTTCGGCATTACATTTAATTAACTTGGTCTAGCCTTGTAATCAAGAACCTGCCGATTACTATGCCTAGTATTAATAACTAGCTCATTTTTACATTCATTTGGTGCTCTGCCATTTTGGCAGGCCTTATGGCATCCAGTATTTTAGAGCTGCCTATTCTCAGCTCTTCTCTTAATTTGAAAATAACTGTCACCCTGTTTCATTTGATGAAGAAAAACGCCGCGCTTTTACTTACTCTTTGTGCTTTTCCCAGAAAGCGTCTTGTAGGCCTAGGTAAGATGCAAAACCAAGGCCTAACTAAAAAATTAAAATTGTCATAGTATGTAACTCAAGTTGAAATAACACTTTTTATTACTCGTGCAGCTTAATCAAATATTATATGTCAGTTTAAACGACCCATTAACATGTAACATCAATGTATTTTTAAAAATTAGACAGACGTACTCTCTCAGAGGTTGTTTTGTAGACGTTTATCTGTTGATGACCTTTTAACCTCCTGAATTCTGCAATGAGATTTTCGGGTCGATTCAGCCGAGACGGCCCGAGTGGAGTTTCATGTAAATGTTTCGTACGGGAAAAAAAATCGCGACCCGGATTGAGCGGTCATGCGGGCTTGAACATAACCCGGGTAAATAGTGTTATGTGACACTCAGTTTTGATTTTCATTATATTTGTTGATTCTCAGTGTAAATATTAAAATTCCAAGTTGTTCGTTGGGCTCCCGCTCTGGGTTTTGCACGACTCAGTAAAACAAAACTATAAAGTTCCCACGCACAACGCACTATTGTTTGAATCTAGCAGTCTATAAAACACAACGCCCTGACTGGCAAGATTTGATCAATTTTAAATATTTTAATTTTAATGTCTTACGTCTTGTGTTTCACTTTTT